CATTTTAACACAGTCCCAAAAGTAAACTGATTAGTTGATAGTTATCTACTAATGTGCCAATAGGACCCACATGTCACTTGCATCCAGGCTGGGGGGGGGGGGGCAGGATTACACATGACAAGGTTGGCCTTGCAGGAACACAGACAAAGAGACAATGCCTGCCAGAAGGACAGACAGCAGATAAAAAGGTACCACACACACTCGCAAACACACACAAAGTCGAGCACAGAATCTTGCGAGGTAAATGGTTGTCGTTCAGGTTTGCCAGTGTAGCAATTCTCTGTAACAGGATCCATCTTTCTTCTTTATTTTCAAGGACCTTTAAACAGATCATACCAATAAGGAGGGAGAACCGTAAGAATAAATCTGAAGGATACAACAATAGGTTCTCCGTCGTGTTTGCAGGCTTTGGACCAACTTGGTAACACGACCAACCAACAAATATGTGTTTGTGCAAAGTTTCAAAGGCAGCTGAGTGAAGGCGCATTAATCAATCTAAAATTCAAATAAAAAAAAAAAAACTTATTTAAAGTATTTCTGGGACATCAAATGTCTTTTATCTGTGTCCCAGCAGAGTTTCCTCTTTTTCATGGGACAAATTAGTGGCCCTCTAGATGATAGAGGCGCTTTAAGAAAAAAAAAAAAACGTGCAACAGAGTCGCAGTCCCATGATGCAACGCTCCCAGTGGTTACATCTGCTCCATTCTTTCATCTTTCTCCATTGTTAGGTGGGAGCTGTCACATTAGGAGGAGAATCGTGGCTCCTTCCCACCCCCAAGTACCCCCTTTTTTCCCATTCCAGCAGTTGGCAGGGTGGCAGGGCCATACAAAGGAGCATGCACCAGGAGCGCAGAGGGGAGCACCGTTAGAGGAAAAACAGTTTGGGAATTAAGGTCATTAATTTTCCACTTTCAAGGGCTGCCACACAGACGGAGATAAAGTCAGCATAAATATTCTGCCGAAGTTTCTCCTGTTTTTCTCCTCTCCCCATTTTCATCGGCAGCCCATTTATCTCCATGCTGTCAATTAGAGGCAAAAGCAAAGAACTAATTAGGAACTGTGCAATTTTAATTAGCTGTTTTGATAATTAAACTAATTGGTTCCCTTGTGTTTCTGCAATGTGTGCTGAGAACTTTTTTGATATCTGGGCAGCAGATTTCCTATCCGCTGGTTAATTAGTCACTTTTGCATTAAAAAGGAGCCTTCCTTAATAGCCTTAATTTGCAGTTGAAAAGAGAATCTACCATCAATAATTTGTGTAATTGGTAACCGTTTGATTGTAATTTAGAGGCACGGCCGGACAGCTCGGCATGTCTAATTCCTAATGACTAGGATTAAAGTTGGATTAACTGTTTGGGAAAGGGATTCACTCTCCCCTCTTCCCTACCCACCAAATGACACCTTGTCTACATTTGATTGGTCATGAAATTCAAATTGACTAGGTGAACAGCAAGGCTTACACTGTTTCTATTACTTTCTATACGGCGAGCCTGTCAGGTGGCGTCAAAAAAAAGATTCCAATAATTCCTGTTTTCCACCCACCGTCAGAGAAACAAAGAGAACGAAAAGCGGCCACAGTTTTTCCTGTGTGATGTGCTAAACCTCTGCTATCAGAGCCATTTGTGCCTGAGTCTGAGGGGAAACATAGCCGGCATCGGCCACTAGGAGGAGCAGAGCGTTCAGCCTCAGAGCAGCAAAGTAGAAACAGGAGCTCAGTGTTAAATGAAACTTCATTCATTTGCTTGTCAATGTTTTTCTCTCTGAACATTAAATTATATATTAAGCATAGTGTACATTCACCAACAGTAACTAAATGTCTGCTTTTAAGTTATAGACCTAATAAACTCGGGGCAGACAGATAGTGTAATTTGCTTTACAATAACTCCCCAAACCGATGCTTCCTCCAGTAGCAGAGAGGAGAAATCACACTGATGTTTACAGGTGTCAGTGTGATGCTAGAATGCATTTAAATATTGTTGGAAGCTGGGAAGCCTGGACTAAAAGCATATCATTCAGCATCTTAACTATCAGGCACCATCTCTATACTTTTACAACACAGAGCCCCGTCAGTAGTCTGATTAAAAAGCACCATTCATCCCACTTAGCCAGAATACAATTAAGGGACATGGCTTTAAAAGCCCAGCCCTGAAGCCTCTCCCCATCCCACATAAAAGGAGCACTCTCCACTGAGCCTTGCCTGTAAATATCATGTTTGATATGAGGTTTTAATCTGCTTAGCCATTCTGAACTATAGAATGGGCTCATCCTCTCTCTGAAACCCCTGTCCAATGGCTGTGTGCCTGAGGACGAATAGGAACACAACACTAGTGCGCTATCTGATTAGGTGGGGTTAATTACAGAGCACTGTTTTGTAGTGGCTGCATTTGAGAGCCGCCCATAAATAGATGGGCATGGCTAATGCATGCTCAGAAATGAATTTTAATTAACTGTGTATCAGAGAAGCCCACTCAGGGGCTTGTTTCTAGTATTCACTGACCCAGCCGCTGGATGTGGAGAAGGGAAGGGTCTGCACCCAAGACACCGTGAGGGGCTGGAAAGTACGCCACGGCCTCCATGAACCACGTATCGCAGACACACAGGATGCTGTGTCCTAACACAAAGGTAATATAAGAAGCAGCTTTACTGAGGTGCAGCCTGACCGTGTCTTCACATATGATCATCGTTAAAACAGGACTTTAAACTCTGCAGATGCTTCACCGAGACACGACCAAACACTGGTGACACTTTAATACACAGGAAACTTCATCAGCTACACGACTTTATATAACACGTCGACTCAAAAACCTGATTCACTGGTGAGGTTATTGTGGTAAATTCACAGCTCCATCCATTATTACACACCCTTCACACACACCACTTTCATTCTCCCACTGAATGGTCCTCACATTCAAATGTCAAATGGCTATTTGAAGTCGAGCCCTGATGATACTGAACCATTCTTCCCTTTTCCTTTTCCAGTTTTCTGTGTGATTGGATTAATTATGTGTCACTCACTTTGCTAGAGGTCAGCAAACATACATTCTCGGTCATAAGTCATCAATCTATGTGACCGTGGAGATGAAAAGTCAGGCGTGTCAGCCAGAAAGCTGCACAGAGAGGGATCAGCCCATTGATTTCAGGGCCAACCCAATCTCACCACAGCCTGCTGCCCTGAGAACTGAAATTATCCCTATGGGCTATGTACAGTGAGCTTTATACCTCAGATTTGTAGCGCATAGTCACATTAGAAGGGACTATAAAATCTTTATTTCGAATGCAGAGCAGGGTAATTATCACACAGAAATGCATGCGTAGGCCACACACTGGAGCCTACTGTAAAAACCCAGCCTGTAGAAACACTGCAGTCGGATTTAACTAAAAAATAAAAGCACTTCTCTGTGGATTTTTAGCCAGCACATATTCTTCAAAGTTTTTTTTTTTTTGAGCTGCTCCACTGAAGTTTAAACACAAAAAGATGAGGTTTCACAGCAAACAGTCCCTAAAATGTGGCCTAATGGAAGTAGTTTGAGAATAATTATTATCACAATTATTTATCCCAGTCATTTGGTTATAGAGAGGCTAATGATAATGTGCTTAGAGTAGGGCTGTAATATCTGGTGCAAAATGTAACAGAAGGCAAGGACAGACTGAGCAAGCTCACACCACAGACAGCCTGCTGGCTGCTGACGAACCAGCATTATTATAGCTATACTCCACTCCACTCTCCTAAATGGCTAATCTTTGTTGGATCTCACCCTTAATTGGTTAACAGTCTCCGCAGGGCAAGTGAAAGTGGTGCTATTTAAGGCTCCACCATGAAACAGCAACACTTTCATCTTGGCAATAACAGGCAACAATTATATTACCAGATTCGAAACTGAACCTTCTATCTACCCACTAATCAAAAACGCAGCCCATCTGTTGTGCCGTCTCTTTTGAAACGACTGTTTATCTGCAGCCTGTATGATAACTGCGTCTGGACACTAATTAACTGCTAAATAGACCGCAATTAGATGCTATTTCTATTAGATTCTTGCAGGAAAAAGAGAGAGAGAAGAAAAAAGTCAGGAGGAGAAGAAGAAGAAGAAGAAAACAATAAGCGCATTTTGTGTTTACTCAAACTGTACCAGGCACCGATGGAGCAGCATCACTCTCACTCACTGTCTCTCTCTCTCTCTCTCTCTCTCTCTCTCTCTCTCTCTTTGACACACGCACCCGCGTGCGTGCACACGTGCATCAATACAACCTTACGTGCATGCGCGCTCCCTCCTGCTCTCTCTCTCTCTCTCTCTCTCTCTCTCTCTCTATCACACACATTCAGACTGGCAGGCAGACCAAGTCACACACACACACACACACACACACACACACACACACTTTCCCTTAGCTGTGCTTTTGTGTTTTGTCAGAATTAATGAGAAAAGTTCCCTTGCCCTAGGGGTAATTAGTGTCCTTGGAGTTAAATAAGCTAATACTTAGACACCTCTGGCACAAGCAATTATGTTTGTGTATTGAATAATTGATTCAAAGAGGGGGGAAGGGCTGCTAATCAGATCTGAGCATAATGAATTGATTTAATTAACAGGGGAATCCGAGGGTCTCTGGAAACTGCGCGCATTTATTCAGTAGCAGCAGAGGCGAGCGCGGCACATAAACTGGGAGAGAGGCGGCGCGAGTTCGCTTTTAGCAATTGTCAGATTTGCAATTGGATTTGTTTGAATATAGTTGCTGTTTGGGAGCAAATGAGAGCGAGAAAGAGAGAATATTAAGCGCAGAGGAGACTCAGCCGTTCAGTCTGAGCGCCTGATCCGACCGTGTGTGCACACTTACAGATAGGAAACCACTCGATTTCTATCGCTTTTCATTGTTTTGCCTCTCTTCTTTTTTTGTGTAGCCCTTCTGCTTTATTCGCATGGAATTTATCAAGAGCAACCAGCGCGGTTTGATCGCTATTTATTCGCGTTACAGCTCAGCCCGGATAGAGGCTCCTCGCCGTGTTTATCGCCGTATTCCGCGTATGAATTATTATTGATAGGAGGGGGGAGAAAACGTGCAGACGGCAATTCATCTTTCCAGGGTTTTTTCGGTTTTTATCGAGGCGTAGTCTAGTCAGCCGCGCGTTTCAAAGCCATTTCCAGGAGCAGCTCCGAGCAGACCGAGCGGTGCAGCCCGCTGGAGCCGAGGACGGATCGCCCGGGGAAGGACTCCTCGTTCCTCAGGACGATGGTGTTGGACAAGGAAGAGGGTGAGTACCGTGCACCGCCGTGGGATGCTGGAGCCTGGGGAGGGGGGCAGAAACAAACTACTGACATTTTACACGTTTACGCGTCCCCCCCTGTCCGCCCCGGACCCCGCAGCCTCCACGGTGGCTCCTCTCAGCCCCCGTTCAGACTCGACAGGCTCCGTGTTTTCGCCCCAGAAACGTGCGTAACCGGGGCTGCTCTCTGCACCGTGAAGTTGCCACAAATACACGCCACGGCCGAACCTGCAGTTTAGTTTTTTGTGGGTTTTTTTTCTCCTGGAGGAGTTGCATGTTTATTCAGAGCAGATTTTTTTTATGATTTGATTTTTTTGCTGGTGGGTAACCCGGAGTTTGAGGATACTCCGCGGACTGCAGTGCATGTGGCTCCTCGTTTCTTTTTCCTCCTCTAAGTGCTTTTTGCGTCTGTGAAGTTGGCGAGGCAGCCTTTGACATCACCACGGGATGGGAGATGACAGCAGAGTGCTTTTAACTTGATTGCAAATTATGGATAGCGCCGTGCAACGTTCACTTACTTTCCATCAAAATAGGCCTACTTGCATTACTTATCTATTTCAATGTATTTAGGTTAATGGGTGAGGCAATCTAATTAATTTTAATTTAAATCAAACTCGCCTCTAATGACGTCCCATTTTGGATTAAACTGATGTTGAGATGTGCAGTGCATTCATCACGTCCAGCCTCTCGGTGTGCATGCACCCAATGCGTTTATGCAACATGATGGAAATATTCATAAAGAGACTTATTTACAGGAGTCCCACTGGAGGGTTTAGGTGGTCTGAGATGAAGCAATCCGGGGATGTTTCCCCTCCATCCTGTCACTTCTTTAAGAGTATTTTGAGGGTTGATTTGCAAACAATTCAGACCACCTGCTGGCATGCACAATGACAGCCTGCACACACCATAAAACAAATTCTCGGTGTTATTTCTCAAAGCAAAGTGTATTTCCAGTGTTGCACTCGAGTTTGTCCGGGGTTCCTCCTCCACCCAAAAGTAATGGATGCATTTGTAACCCATTATTTATGTTTGAAAATGGATATTTCATTTATCTTAGCAGAGCATCCTTTCACTTACACATCTAAAAACCAATAAAAGGATTGCGGCAGAGACATAAATTGGTCTGTCTGACTGAATCCATGTTGTGCTGCTAATGTACTCAAATTAACTCAACTGTAAATTGTCTCCTTTGGATGTCTGTCTAGCTAAAAGTTCGCCATATGATTCATGATTCAGATTGCTTTTAACAGTTATTGGCTAAGCAATATGGTAAATGTACAAGGTGATGCAAATGGCATTAGTGGGAAAGGATGCACAGGAGCATGTAATGCAGTCAATACTACATTAACTACTGATGCCCAATTACAGAACCAGGGAGAGAGGCTTTTAGGAGCATTAGGACTTGCAGAAAAGCTGAGATCACCTGCTGCTCATTGCCTAAAAGCTTCACCCTTTATTTGCTGGGCCCTACCAGCAGCTCCAGCGTTTTGGCCAGGTTGTCGACAGAGCAGCTTGGATCTGGTCTCCCCTCACTGTGGTGCCTCTTAGCGTTTATTGGCTCTAAAGTTATAGGCTTGTCAATTCAACCTTCTTGTCTAATGTATCCACTTAGTGCCTTGCACAAATAAATGCGTGCGTACGTGGCGAGGGAGGTGTGCGTCGGTGTTTTGGGCGGCCACATGGGCGTGCGATCGCTCTGTTTTTCTTGATTGATTTACGATTATCCCTGCATTTGTTTGTGCGAGTGGCTTTAAGTGTTCATATTTCAGGTTCGTATGCGGCCTATGAAACAGATCGTCGCTGTGTCTGGTCTTGTGTTCAAAGTCGCCGATCCAAGTTGGCAACCAAGTAATGATGCTGCTTGTTTGGCAGACTGTTTTTGAACTCTGACTTGTCTTAGAAAAGTCTGCAACAATTTGTGCTGCAAAAGCAATTACCAGAAACGAATCCCTGTGCTCCCTTATCTTAGCTCCATTGAGAAAATCTGCCTAAAACGAATAACGTCCCACTGCATCGGCCTATTAGGAGCCAAAATCCAACATTTTTAGACATACTGCTGTAAGTTGTAATTTCCACAATTACTTGCTGGGATCAAACCCGAAACATTCCTGATGATGCCAGTTTCATGCTGCATGTGCACGTTGCATGTCCCGTCTGTCGCATGCACATTGTAAACTAATCACTTTATTTTCAGATGATTAGGTCACTAACTTGTAATATACACTCTGTGGTGGAGCCTGAGTCTGGGAGTACGGAGGAGGACTGCAGAAGGAATACAGGCAGTGCTCTGTGCAATGACCTAATGTGCAGGTTATAGTTAGCAATGAATAGCAACACATGTACCAAAATATTCTGTGTCAACATTTTATTTCACCCCATGATATGAGGTTCCAATTTGCGTCTAATTTGAGGGGGGAAAAAAGCAACTCAGCCATTTTCTCTCTTTCTTCATACCAACTGCAGGAGAAGAAAGTGGGTCCACGCTGAAGGCATATTTTTGCTGAACATTAACATAACTACAGTATACTCTTTACAGACCTGAGCAAAAGAGAAATCCTCCAGCTGCTGATAAATTTCTGGTTACCTTTGCTTGTTAATTTAAGATCCTGTTATCATCCTGTCCACTGAAATTTGTACATTCATAAAGCATGTGATTGAAAAGCAATGCTTCAGATGAATACAGACTGACGATCTCTCGGCTGCTGTAATAAAACTTGGGCTTCAGGCTCCGATTTTTATTTTGAAATAATAAGAATTGCTTCATTCTTTACCAGTGTTACCATGGTAATACTGTCTTGTAGCGATGTTATATTGATTTAGAAAGTGGACAGTAATATTTCTTTTCTGTTATTTGGTTTCTGAGGGTTGATTTCTAATTTCCAGTTGGAGATTACTTTTATATGTTCCTTAAGTCTTTTCACTTTTACAAAGGAATGCAATTTGCTCTCTTGTATTTGCTATTTTCTCAGCTTATTGGTTTGCTCTTACTTCAAAATTAAACTTGCCCATTTCAAATATTGAAATTACATCTGGTTTTTGTGCTCTAGGCCTTGAACAATATTACAAACACATTGCTTCGTTTGATATTTCTTATGTCACTACAGTTTTTTTCATTAAGCTTTATTATAGGCACCTGCATCGCCTCTGCTGTACTTTTCCAATTTCTACTCAAACACAGTTTGTCAGGAGACAGCGGTGTTTCAAACAATTGCAAGTTGCACAGATTAATCTCCTCGTGCATTTGCATTCACTCCACAAAGCAGCACCAACACACACATGTGGTAACACCATTATCCACCCTGCACTGACAGGTAGCACGTCCTGCACCCTCACTGTTCAGTCCGACCATATTATACTAAGTCTGTTCTCATTATTCGTTTTAGCTAAGCTCAGGGGAAGAAAAAAAAATTAACAAAAAAAAATCACATTAATACTATTTTCAGCTGCGAGTGTTTAATTCCATCTAATCTGAGTCTGATCTTACAAATACAGAATTCTCACTAGAGACAATTTCGTCCGTCACCACTAAACCTCTAGATCCCTATCAGTCCTGATCGTCTCACATTTACGAGTGCGGGAGATTTGTATCGTTTTCCGCGATTTAAGTGGAATTCAAAGGGACCGAATTGAGACTTAAGAGACACGTGTTAGCGAGTGCACCCACCTGCCTTCGATGTAAATGGCTGCACTCATCAGTGTGGCGCACAAACTCAATTATGCACTCTTGAGCTGTAAGAGCATCCCTTTTATTATTGCCAGAGGCCACATGCTAGCCACGTTATCGCACAAATTCTCACAACCAGATCCGTGGCTACCACATGCATCACAGAGAACAGTCGATCTCTGTTGTTTTGTCCCAGGCCTGACCCTTTGTTTTTTTTTTTGCTCACCCCGGAAGATATTTTCAGCTTCAAGAGGAATTTCTGGTATGAAGTTGTTTGTGAATAGTGAAAATTCAAACTCCTAGAAAAATGTAAGAGCAGTAGAAATGTTAGGATGACAAACAGAGATGAAGAATTACTGGGAAACACAGTGACCTAGTAAAGCTCTGAAATATATGTAGACAGTAAACATGCATAGGCAAAGTACGCATTCTCAAATATAACTACCATGTACACACACACACACACACACACACACACTGCATATAGCATGTATATGTTGCTAGTTACTTATAAGTTTGAACCTGCTGCAGGCAGGTCTCACTGCCACCTGCCATTGCAAAGCTGCCTGTCTCCAGCTGCTGTTGACAACACTCATGTCAAGGTGAAAAAACAAGAATTCATACACTGATGCCTCTACAAACACACACACACACACACACTCCCTGCAACGGCTCATTAGTAGTGTTTTTTTTTTTTTACATAAGGTTATTTATTCACCTGTTTATCAGTTCTCTCTCTCTGTTCTGACTCATGTGGCACTCGGATGTACTTTGTTAAGCTAATTCTTTGCTCTATGCAAAATCATTTCTCCTTTCTTCTGTCATCGTAGGCTTAGAAAAGGAAGACAGGAAAGAGAAATGGCATGCAGCAAAGTTCCTGAGATGAGCAGATGTCAGAAGCACGGTGTCACCAGGTAGCTGAGGGCTGTATTACAGCCCAACATGCAGCATGTGACACATCTGAGAGGATTTTAGACCAGAATAGAAATAAAAGTTGATCTGTTTGTTTGATCATTACTCACTGAACGCTATTATTTATTAGTATGGAGCAGATCTTGGCGGCATCTATGGAACAGGGTAAAAAAAAAAAGTAATATAAAAATGATGGCATTTGATGAAACTGATGTTATTTTTTAAGGTGGAAAAAGCAGCGGACGGTTCTAAAAGCGGCCGTGTGCCATTTCAAGTTGTAAAGCAGGTATTCATCGGTTTGACTGACCGCTCTACTCTAAACACGAGGAAATGGACACCTGCAGAAATCCAATATTACATTATATTACTAATATATTTTTAGGAGTCTGTATGAAGAGGTCTGTTGTGTTCC